CTATTAGACAGGCTGAACCACCTATCACTGAAAGAGTTTTGTCAGAAGAAAGGTACTGGATGTTTTCCAAATTATATGAAAACATACTTGTTTATTGTAGTAAATGAGGTATTTGTACCACTTCCACTTGCTACCCACCTGCCTGAAGTAGTCACTGTTAATAGCCTGGTCTGCATCCTGCCCATACTTGTCTTCTAGCTCACAAAATTATATTTGAACACGCTACACATTTGTTCTGGTTTTACATGCTCTAACAAACATAAAGTTGTCCTACACCTATTAATTTGCAAAAAATTATTTAACAATAGACATTCATTCAAATGTGATTCTCCTAATTTCTTTCTATGTAAGTTTTTAAAACAATTTTATATAAACAGGGTAGTATACATTTTGAGGTAGTAACTGTTCACAATAGTCCTTTATGATCTTTTCTCCCACCCTAATCCAATGTTGTAATGTTTCCTCTTTCATTTCATTTTACTTAATTTTCTTTTGTTTCTTTACATGTGCTTTCTCTTTTCTTAGTCAACTGTTTATCTTTTCAAAAAACCACCTCTTAGTTTACTGCCTTTTCTATTGTTTTTACTCTCTATTTGATTTAGTTCTTTTCTAGTCTTCATTATTTCATTTCTTCTGCCCATTTGATTAAGTTTCTGTTCTTTTCTCTAGTTAATTGAGCTATAATGGTAACTTTTTAGAAAATGACTTTTTTCTTTTCTTTTTTTAGTTTGGGCATCAATCACTAACTTTCCTCTTGGAATTTCTTTTGCTGCATCTCATATATTTTATTATGCTGTGATTTTATTTTCACTTGTTTTAGATACTTCAAAATGTTCTTTTGATTTCTTCTTTGGCAAAGTGGCTGTTCAAGAGTGTGTTTAGTCACTTCTTTTCAACATAATAATGTAAGCCTTAGCTAGAATAATTAGGCAAGAAAAAGAAATAAATGGCATTCAAATCAGAAAGAAATAAAATTATTCCTATTTGCAGGACATGATCATATGCTTAGAAAGTCCTAAAGGTTAAAAGAAAACTCATTAAAATTAATGCACAAATTAAGTAAAATTATAGGCTATAAAATACACATATCAACAGCAATTACATTTCCATAATGACTACCAGAGTTTGTGAAGGGTGTGTGGGAAAAAGGTAGAAAAAGGGAGGTTGGATTTGATAAGTATATGCTAAATGTATGTATGAAAATATAACACTGAACCGTATTCATACATATAAACAATACAAGTTAATAAATTTTAAAAAGTAATCACATTTCTATCCAAATAATAAAATATCTAGAAAGAAAATAACCCCATTCTCAATGGCAACAAAAAAGAATAAAATACTCAAATTAAACTCAACCAAAGAGGCAAGAAACTTGTGCCCTGAAAGTCATAAAGGCAACTGAAGACATAGTTAAGAGGAAAGACACCTCATACCAATAGATTATAAACATTAAAGTTTTAAAGTTATCACTATTACTTAAAGTGATCTGTATAGTTAATGTTACCTCTATCAAAATCCCGATGGCATTGTGTACAGAAGTAAGCAAAACTTTCATACAGTACATACAGAATTACAAAAGACCTTAAATAGCCAAAGCTATCTTGAATCACACTCCCTGATTTCAAGATATGGTATAGAGTGCCTGTAATCAAAATAGTATGGTACTGGCATAAAAACCAGACAGACATACAGGGCATGGGATAGAATGGAAAACTCAGAAATAAATCCATGCAACTACTGTCATCTGATTTTTGAAAAGAACATCAAGTACATGTAATGGAGAAAAGCTAGTTCCTTCAATAAATGGTGCTGGGAAAACTGGATATATGCACAAGAATGAAACTGGATATACTTACATTACACCATATACAAAAATTAGCTCAACGTGTAAGACCTGAATGTGTAGACTTACTAGAAGAAAACATAGGAAAAACATTTCTTGACACTGGCCTGGGCAATAAATTTTTGGATATGGCATCAGAAGCACATAAGCAACAAAAGCAAACTGAACAGCTCAGCACAGCAAAGGAAATGATTAACAGAGTGTAATGGCAACCCACAGAATGGGAGAAAATATCTGCTAATCATATATCTGATAAGGGGTTAATATCTAAAACATATAAAGAACTCAACTCAGTAACATGTAAATAAATAAGCCAATTAAAAAATGGGCAAGCATCTGACTAAACATTTCTCAAAAGAAGATGTATAAAGGGCCAACAAAAACATGAAAAGCTATTCCACTTCTCTAATTATCAGAGAAATGCAAATCAAAACTACAATGAGCTTTCACTTCACACCTCTTAGATCAGCTGTCATAAGAAAAATGAAAGAAAAACAAGTCCTGGCAAGAACATGGAGAGAAGTAAACCTTTATAAACAGTTGGTGGGAATGTCAACTGGTACAAATGCTATGGAAGACAGTATGGAGGTCCCTCAAAAAAATTTAAAATAGAGCTATTATATGATCTATCAATTTTTCTTTTGGATATACATCCAAAAGAAAGGAAACCAGTCTGTCAAAGAGATATATGCACTCTCATATTTATTTCAGCGTTATTCACAATAGCTAAGATATGAAAACACCCTAAGAGTCTATCAATGGATAATCAATAAAAATGTGACTATTCAACAGAATATAATTTGGCTTTAAAAAGGAAGGAAATTAGTGGCTGGAGATATGGTTCTGTGGTAGAGCACATGCTTAATATGTCAGGCTCTGGGTTTGATCCCCAACATCACAGGGGGAAAAAGAATATCTTGCTATTTGTGACAACATGGATGAACCTAGAGGACATGACACTCAGTAAAATAAGCAGAAAGACAAACACTGTATGGTCTGAGTCATATGTAGCATCTAAAAAACATTTCTAAACTTACAGAAAGACAGTAGAATGGTGATTGCTAAGTTGTAGATATAGGGAGATGTTGGTTCAGGGGTACAGAGTTTCAGTTTTACAAGAGAAATAAGTTGTGAAGCTCTAAAATCCCACCGTCATTATAGTTAACAGTGTTGTACTGTATACTTAAAAATTGCTGAGAGATTAAATCTCCAGTGTTCTCACACCCCCAAGTAACTGGGAGGTGTTAGTTATGCTCGTTAGCTTGCTTATGATGAATGTTTCACAATGTGTATCAAATCATCAAGCTGAGCATATTAAATATATACAATCTTTAACTGTCAACGATTACCTCAAGAAAACTGGAAAAAACCCTGTGCTACCATGTCTGTGAAAAGATGATAGGCTTGATTGTTGATGAGCATTTAATATCTTTTTTACAAAGAAAGAACATTTAATACATTCATAATTAATTTCATGGAACTTGAAAGTATTTCATTCATAACAGATGTTTTGTTTGAATAAAATCCTGGGAAGAGTTAAATTAAATATCATTTGATTTCTAAAATAAGAGGCCAGGAAAGGATTATGAACCTTTACATATGCATTTAATCTAGCTGGGTATTATATTTCACTCCAAAAGAAGGGAAAAGTGGTTTTGTCTTTAGCATTGAGATGGTTTCATGAATGCCCCCATTTTAAGGGAAAGAAAGTGGGGAAAAGCTCAGAAGTAGAATTTTTTATTAAGATACATCTTAATTAGAAAATTACAAAAATGATAAAAAATAAAATGCCAAATTAAAGAAATGATATATAAGATTAATATTTCAATTGGTATAGTAGCTGACACCTATGATCCTAGCTACTCAGGAGGCAAAGATCAGGAGGATCATGGTTTGAAGCCAGTCCAGGCAAAAAGACAGCAAGAACCTATGTCAACAAAGTAAGCTGGGTGTGGTGGCGTGTCAGGGTCATCCCAGCTATGCCAGAGGCCATAGCTAGGATGATCCAGTCTGAGGTTAGCCCCAAGTAAGACCCTGTCTGAAAACCTAAAGCAAAAAGGGCTGGAGGTGTGGTTCAAGTGGTGGAGCTCTTGGCCCTGAGCTCAACACCCGTACCCTCCATTCTCCCAAAAGATTAATACTTCACCTCATATGTGAAAGCTGCTTTCTTTATGAATAAAAGCAGAGGATTAAGATAAGCAATGCTATTTGATATGAGTTTGATGTTGAAATTGCCTTTTAAGGAAATTTAGTTTATATCTGATGTAGAAAGGAAAATCTTATAGTTATCACATAGCTGAATCAGAACAGTACCAAACACTTGGTCACTCTTGTTTTGTGAACAGTAAGCCTATTGGATTAATGTAATTATTAAAAATAGGATAAGCTAAATGTGTTGGCTTCACTTGCACAAATATAGTCTTAATCGACGACAAAAAATTAAGTAGTAAACTATCACCATGGTTTGAATTACAACATTCATGGTTTACCTATTAACTGAACAAAAGGTTATTAAAAACCAAGAATGCACTGAGAATAAATACAGTTAGCCCTCTGTATCTGTGAATTCTCTTTGCTTCAACCATGGATTAAAAATATATCAAAATTTGTGTCTATCCTGAAAATGTAGACTTTTCTTTCTTGTCATTATTCCCCAAACAATAAATTATAACCACTTATTTATGTAGCATTTATGGTATATTATGTAAAATAAGTAATCTAGAGATGTTTTGAAGTATAGAGGGGATATTATATGCAAATATAACAAATTTGTTATATGGAAAATACTATCCTATTTTCTATAAGAGACTTGAGCATCAATTGACTTAGTATATGCAGTGGTCCTTCAATCATTCCCTGACAAACATTGAGGGATGACTGCATACTTTTAAAAAATATTTGAAGTAATAAAAAGAACTATCATAGCATATTATAAACATCCCCTGATGTCCTTTACAGACAGAATATGCTCTGTTCAGCATAGGATTTCTTATTTCATAATCATTTAGGAAAGTGTATTTTTTAGTAAGGAGTCTTGCCATTAGCTGATGAATTGAACAAAACCAAATTAAAAGGAACTTGTCGATGTTAAAAGCTCTATTTTAAAAGGTGCTCAAACAAATCATGTTTTTTTAAGATTTTTTTCCTAACTTACCTTTCAAGTTGTGTTGATATTCAATGGTCTGCTGTAGCCCTTTTATCACATTATGAAGAGTAGTACATTCTAAAACATAAAAGAAATCTTTTGCTTTCATTTTGGAAGTACTTTTTTCAGTTGAAATAATTAAAATAATATTTAACTGACAATTATGAGATCTTAAAAAAGAAACAGCCATCTCAAAATAAACTATACTTTTATTTTTTGCATTCGCTATAGTTTTATAAAAATATTCCATATTTTCCAGTTATTTTTAGTTTTGTTTTGATAGTTCAGGTAGTTTTCTATCTGCATTAAATTTTGTGTACAGTATGAGGTAGAGACAGGTATCATATATTTTGAATAGAAAATCCATCAAGTGCTTCAAAGATCATTTGTTGACTTGTACATCTTTCCCCCCATTGAAATGACTTGTACCTGTATGGACATAGTTCTGTTCATAGTTTCTCTATTCTGTTCTTTCATTTAATTGTGCACATGCTTTCAAATAACCCTTATGTCAAATAAATTCCAAGACTCAATAGTAAGTTTTCTAAGGCACAGTATAGTGGGGATCTTCTCATGTGCCTTAGCAATTTCTTCCCTGAAATGAAGAATGGGCCTTCATTCCATGAGAGAACATTCTAAGGAATAGAGAGTCAAATTATATTAAGTTTTGCTCAATTGTAGGGGACTATAGCTGGTGAGAAGGTTTATGATAGTGGCTGTACTTATCCACTATCCTCCAACTTCTTAGAACTGATGCCCAGTCTTAGGGTAAGAGGATAGTAATAAAAAGCTTAAAAAATCAATTACAAGGCTCACCAATTTTGACACCAACAGCTTCTGACATAATGGGAGACAGGACATTCATGGCAAGTTAGAGCCCTAACATGTACATTCAAGTCTTGATTACACCTTTGATGTGGAGCAATGGGGGTAGAAATTTCTGTGACTTCAGCAGTCCACTGGTTTTAAGTTTCACAATAGCAAGGACTATTTCTGTTTTGTTTAATATTTCTCTTAGTATTTAGAACCGCTGTGGTACACAGCAAGCAATCCACAGATATTTCTTGGGTGGTTGAGAGATAGGCAATATTACAGTAAGCTAGAGTTGGAAAGGGATTAGCGGAGAAGCGTTGGCCTGCAAATAATATATATTTTATTGATTGAATGAAAGAATCAATGCTGTGAAGGGAGAATGCAAAACTTTTCACCTTTTGATTAGAGGTTCTGCTCTCAGGCTTTATGCACTTTCTTCAACTATACTGATAGAAATCAAAGCATTTTGCAAAAGTTAAAAGCAGATATGAGAGTCTGCTTTTAAGGCCTTCCACTCCTTTCTGTCCTCACCACCCAATCATACAAAGCTCTCACCATTCTCCCTTTCCTCTCTCTGCAGTTGCCCAGTAACAGAATGATGGTTAAATTATACTTGTTACACAGTAGCTGAGAACCTGCTTCAAGTATGTTACTGTGTTAGATGCTATAATTCAATAATAAGAGGGATACTTTCTGCCATCGTTTGCCTTTGTGTCTTTTACTATAATGAAATAGCAGAGAATGAAATATGGTAGCAATAAGTTACCTTAGTGATCAGCAAATTGAAAACAGTTCTGTAACTTAAAGTATATTACATTTTAAGTAAAGCTAGTGAGGCCCAGAAGGTCAAAAATCACATATTCTCCCTCATATGCAGATATAGACCTAAAACAAATGCAGTAATATTGGACTGAGCATGGGAAGGATAGGGGAAAGGAAGAAAACCAAAAACTTGAATGTGGTTGATGTGTTCACTGTACAGGAACAAATATAGTAAACTTAAACTGGCTAAGACCACTATGGGAAGGGGACTAGGAAGTAGTGAAGAGGTCTGGTAATAAACCAATGTGGGTTGTAATACACATGTGCATGGAAGCAACACAAGGAATTTCCCTGTATAGCTATCTTTATCTCAAACTAGCAAAAATGTCATGTTTTTCTTATTATCTTTTGTGTTTTTTCTTCTACAAAATCAGAGAAAAAGTGGGCAGAACAAGTTCTGCCCAGAGGTGGGGGCGGGGTGAGGAAGTGGCCCAAATATTATATACACATGTAAATAAATGTAAAAATGATTTTAAAATGTGTATTTTCAAAATTTGAGCACAAGGTGGCTCTCTCAGCACATTTTTTTCTACAGTGGAAACTGGCTCCATTTGATATCCTTCATAAGGTAGAATAGCATTCAGCAATTTAGAATTTAAATGGCTTTTAATTCTCTTTGCAAATCTTAACGTTCATTACCTTTTCTGTTGGAATTGACTATGTAATTTGAAGAATATTGTCTTATTAAATTCTTCTTAAAAACCAGAGTTAAAAATATGAAGTTATTTCTTACATAATTTAGTAAGTCAATGATCACTTGAGCTCAAATTTAGGCTGTAACATTAACTAGCAATTTGAGTATTAGTCTATATTTCATAGAGTAGCTGAAAATATTAGATGCAATTAAAGCATTGCTATAGATTGGACCTGAAACGTCCCTCCAACAGCTCATGTGTTAAAGGTTTGGTCCTTAGCCTGTGGTACTATTGGAACGTGGTGAAGCCTTGGAGGTGGGGTCTAGCAGGAGGAAGTTAGGTCATTGGGGAATGTTCTCAAAGTGATATGGGCTCCATCTCTCTCATACTCAGCCATGATATGAATAGCCTCCTTTGCCACATGTTCCACCATGATCTGTCATTAGAAGCTCAAAGCAATGGAACCAATCGGTTATGGCTGAAAACTCCGAAATTAAAGCCAAAGAATTTTTCTGCACAGGATATCTGTCTTTTTTGCCTACTTACAGAAATTGATTTTATATTTTGGAGTATAATTCGACACTATTTATTTTGTTGCTCACATTGTTCCAGCTTTGGCCACTGAGAACTTTTTCAGTTAGCTTCTGTGTCCCTTTTGAGATATTCCCACCATTATGCATTTATTAACTCTTGAAGCACTTTCTTACTGTTTGGCACTAAAAGATACTTCAGGCTTATATTATTTATTTTGTGCACCAGTCCTAAAATCAGCTAGTTCTTTTTTATTAGAGAATGGTATTAGAAACTAAAATCTGGACATAGGTGTGCTAATTGCTATTATGGTATTGTTGCTTCTAAGCCCTCTCAGAAAGAAAATATATGTATAGCTTCATTTGTAATACAAAAGTGTTTACCCATCTTCCATTTATTTTGGTGTAATTGTGAGGTAAGAATTCATTTTTTTTCTCCATGGAAGAAACAGATTCATGTTAGGTCAGATTTTTATTTCTCATTTGTAATTGTTAGTCTGTTTTAATATTTTATGATGTTCCTTTTCTTGTGTTGTTGGTGGTGCTATACTGATACTTCAATTTGCCATTTCTTAGATGAGTAGCTTCAGATAGATTATTTAACTTCTTTCACTCTATATTTCTCCATTGAAGTAGGGTAATAACACAAGTCTTTTTTATCTTTTTTAGAGCTATACTAAAGATTAAATAAGATGATGGTCTGAGAAGTTCTATGTGGGCTTAAAATACTTTACAAGTATGTGGTGTGATATTACTCACCGTTGTACTCTCATTGGAACTAGGATTTCATTAGATAGCAAAGAACTAACCTTCTTTAACTGACACTTCCTTTGACTGCATTATTTTTAATAAACAGTTAGTCTTCTCCAATTGAATATCCATTACATTGTTCTTTCCACTGGTTTCTAGCATTTTCTGTAGAAGTAACAGAATATACATTAAGCAATATTGCTGTTTTTTTATTCTTTTACAAACTATATGAAGACTAATAAGAATATAAAACACTTAATATATGAAAGTCTAATAATTAAATCTGGAATACAATTTAAAATAAACCAACTTCTGGATTTATTTTTAATTTTGAAAGTAACATGGTAGGGCTGGAAATGTATGAAGCTCAGCAGTGGAACATTTACTTAGCGTTCGTGAGGCCACAGGCTTCATCTCCAGCACCACCACCACCATACACACACAAAAAAAGGAACAGTAAAATATTAAAATAGACTAACAACTACAAATGACAAGTAAAAAATCTGACCTAACTTGGATCTCATTCTTCCAACTATTCAACCCTTAGTCCCATAGTTAAAAATTCCTAGCCAGGAGATGTTTGTAGCCTCATTTATCAGGAAGGCTATGTAGTAGAATTTTTTGAGGCCCAGTGTTCATGTCCAGCCTGGGCAATATAGTGAGACCTTGTCTCAAAAAAACCCCCAAACTTCATAAAACTAAAAAGCTTCTGCTCAACAAAAGAAATGGTCTCTAAACTGAAGAGACCACCCACAGAGTGGGAGAAAATATTTGCCAGCTACACATCAGACAAAGGACTGATAATGAGAATATATAGGGAACTTAAAAAACTAAATTCTCCCAAAATTAATGAACCAATAAAGAAATGGGCAAGTGAACTAAACAGAACTTTTTCAAAAGAAGAATTTCAAATGGCCAAAAATACATGAAAAAATGCTCACCATCTCTAGCAATAAAGGAAATGCAAATTAAAACCACACTAAGATTCCACCTCACCCCTGTTAGAACAGCCATCATTAGCAACACCACTAACAACAGGTGTTGGCGAGGATGCGGGGAAAAAGGAACCCTCTTACACTGCTGGTGGGAATGTAAACTAGTACAACCACTCTGGAAAAAAATTTGGAGGCTACTTAAAAATCTAGACATTGATCTACCATATGATCCAGCAATACCATTCTTGGGGATATACCCAAAAGAATGTGACACAGGTTACTCCAGAGGCACCTGCACACCCATGTTTATTGCAGCACTATTCACAATAGCCAAGTTATGGAAACAGCCAAGATGCCCACTACTGATGAATGGATTAAGAAAATGTGGTATTCATACACAATGGAATTTTATGCAACCATGAAGAAGAACAAAATGTTATCATTTTCAGGTAAATGGATGGAATTGGAGAACATCATTCTGAGTGAGGTTAGCCTGGCCCAAAAAACCAAAAATCGTATGTTCTCCCTCATATGTGGACATTAGATCAAGGGCAAACACAACAAGGGGATTGGACTTAGATCACAAGATAAAGCGAGAGCACACAAGGGAGTATGAGGATAGGTAAGACACCTAAAAAACTAGATAGCATTTGTTGCCCTCAATGCAGAGAAACTAACGCAGA